TCATAATATTATAGATGCTAAGTGAGAAGCTAATAAATAATATATAGTCTATCATTATATATATATATATATATATAATTCTTGGAGTTAGATAAATAAAAGATTAAAATGCAAATAGCTTTTCATCAAATAAAAAATTGAGAAATTGATCAGATTAGTTATCTCAAGTAAAATAAACTTATGTTCATTGACAAGAGAGTCTAGACAAATAAGATATATTTTTAAGATGAGATTGAAATTTCAAGAAAATAATTTGATAAATAATTCACAGTGTAAAAAATAATATATACTAGAAAAGAGTAGTATATGAATAAGGAATAATATAAGATTTCTCACTACTTAATTAGAAAAAACAAATAAAAATAAAATATATTTACCTTGAACCAACGTAGTTCACTTTGCAACTGCAAAGCTGCAGTATGGATGTAACCTAATTGATAATGAGGGGGTAACTTTGCTGCTAGATGTAATGTATTATTTCTATCTTCATCGGTGGTAAAAAGCATGTTTTTCTCCTTTTCAGATTCATAAACAAGATGTGCCACTTCCTCTTGTCGATGTTTTACAGCAAGAGCAAATATTTTTTGAATTCTTGATCTTGAATCTTCAGGATCTGTGCTGCTCCATAATATATTTGCATTAGCTTTTCTAATTTCTTTCACAATGTCTGGGATGCCATTCTTGATAGCCTGGATGATTGCTTCCTCTGCTGTACTTTGCACAGACTGGTTCTGATCTAATTTTGATAATGGCTGGCATATTAACTGTATTACCTCGCGGGCATACACATCCATCAGCTTTATCTTGTATAAATCCGTTGCTAATAACAAAATAATAATAATAATAATAATTTAGTACAAAGAAGAATCAAGATATAGAACAAATTAAAATGAAGAAAAGAAAAGGGCTCATTGTGTAGACGTTGTTTCTTACAAAGTAACCGTGAGACCGTTGTAAACAGTCTAAATAGCGTCCCTGCAATGAATGAGTATTACATTTACCATCAGAAAGAATAAGTTTCATATTTGCAGTTTATTGCCTGTATAACCGTTAGCTAAAATGTGTATGTTCATTGAGTGGATGCCGTTGCTTATTGCTTACCAATGATCAATGCAACAAGGAACAGTGGCACTGCAAGCGAGATTACGACCGCCGTCCCTACAGTGAATGAGTTATATTCAAGATTAGAAAGAATGAGGGTTTCATAACTACAATAATTGATTCTCTTTTTATGATTTTTAGTGAAAAATATTGCCTTTAACTCATAATACAAGGATAAAAAATGACCTTAATCCAAATTATAAACACAAAAAGGAATAACATGCACATCCATCAATATGCTTTGATGATAAAGCCATAACATAAAAATAAATTAAGGGAATAAAAGTCTCATTAAGTGGACATTATTGCTTACCAATTAGAGAAATTGAAATAGATAGCACCATAGACGGCAACACTGCAGTGAGTTACTAATATTCAGAATTTCGAAGGAAAGAATTTTATAAATAAAACTAACATAAATGAAAAAAAAAAAAAAAGAAAAAGAAAAGAAAAGAAGCTAATTGAGCGGATGTTACTACTTACTAATAATAATGGAGCAGCATATCACCAGTCCTAATGGAAAACACACTGCAAAGACTGCAATGAATGAATTATATTCATTAATCAGAAGGAATGAAGTTATAACTACAATAATTAATTACATACTTTTTCCATCATCTTCAGCCAAAAAGATTGCCTTTAACTCAGCATATATGGGAAGCAAAAAAGAATTGAATCCAAATTATAAAACAAAAAGCAAGAATTAATCATTATGAAACTCAAATAAAAATCAAGAGACAGCACCAAACGAAAGCATATAACTCATTCTACAAAAATATATATGCTGATTATATATGTATAATTGACAAAAAAACATTTTTATTAATTATACTTATTTTCGACGCACAATTATTCAATAATTTTTTCTATCAATTATAGGTATAATCGACAGAATTTTTTGTATAACTAACAAAATTTTTTGTTGATTAAAAACTATTTTCTACTAGTGTTTCTATGTTGATTAAAAAAAGAACATAGATTTGCTATATTATTTCTACAAATAAGAATCTAGATATAGCACAAAAAAGAAGGAAAAAGGAAAAGTAAAAAACTCATATATAGATTAAAAAATCATTTTGCATATAATACCTTTACAGTAAATTAGTAAAATTTAAAATGAATAAGTTATTAATAAGTTCATATATAGATGCAAATATAGATGCAATAAGCACTTGTGATGCTCATTGCAGTAGCAATGTGCATTATAGACCTTGGCAAGTTTCGAATCCCCACTTTGTATGAATAATTCCCCATCCCTAATTTCCAATTGCCTTATAACTCATAACATACGAACAAAAAATGACTTTTGCCCAATTATAAAGAAAAGCAAGAAATCCAAAGAGCAACATTTGTGCCAGGCATCTACCCAACAAATTCTACAATATATATCTCTAAAAGAATATATACCACATTTTTCTTTAAATGATGATTCTTCAAGCTCTTGATTTGTCTCTTGATTCCTCTCTTGGATACGTCGGACCATCACTTGAGCTGACTCTTGATACTCTTGATATGCCTCTTGAATTACCTCTTGAAAACTCTCTCGACATAACTCAAAGCGGTGTTTACATGTCTGGAAAAAGTCTTGCATCTTCTCTGCACATGATCGTTGCTTCTCTTCTTTGATGACGTTGGCCTCCAATATTAAACCTTGAATTACAATTTCAATCGATAAAGAGAGCGTTTAATACAATAAATCAATCAAGAAGAACAAACCGATAAAAAAAAAAAAGAAAGAAAAAAAGATTGAAAAAAACCCACATAGGTTATGAGAGTTGTTAGGAATCTAAGATTAATTTTGTTTCTAGCCAAATGATTATTAAATATATTAAAAGAAATTTATTATGTTAAAAATTAAAGAGTAAAGAAAAGCAATACTGACAGCTATATATCCATCGTCCCCAAAATGAAAGATTACTTCCTCTGAAGAATGGGGGTGGTGTTTTAGCTAGTGTTAAAATGAGTTGAATGGAATCCCCAGAGCAATTGGGAGACGCCAACTGTGGAAAATGGTGGAGTAGATCGAATACAATATCTGCTATCAAAGCTTGTTAGAGAGAGTAAAATAATAACATAACATAATAGAGGATTATAAAAAATCAAAATATCTTGACAATTAAAATATCATGAACAATAATAAAAAAAATTTAAACATCGTTTAATGAATTAATACTTAAAAAAATTATTAAGTATATTTAAATAATTTTATAGGTAATTCTAATATTTTAAATATTAAGATATTTTAATTTTTACTTTTTCTTATATAATATAGTAAGGAGACAAAGAATTAATTAATGTTAGAGTTCCTACCAAACATTTTTTTAGTTATACACTCTTGGAGGATGCGGCCGCCATTGTTTACATTTAGAGACTCCAGAGGAGTCTCACGGTACAGATAGCGTGTCAAGTCCTCGCTTATTGTGCTGCAGGCCAATTCAACTGGGATATTACCATCGTTGTCTGGGATGGTAAGCAAATTATAGTTCTTTCCAACTAGTTTTTGTGCAATTGATTTCCCGACTCCGCAACGAGCAGCAATGGAAAGAGCCGTGCTCCCAGAATAATCTTTTGTTTCCAAGTCTTTTTTTGACAACTTGAACTCGATCAAGTAATTAACAATTTCGCTCTTGTTATTATAAACTGCAAAATGAAGAGCTGTGTACCCATTTTCAAATATTATTGCAGATCTTGGATTCGAATTTTCTCTAAAGAACTTCTTTACTTGCACAAGGTCCCCATTGGAAATGGCATTAGTTAAGGTCTCATATTGCGAACTTGAAAGATTTCAAGGCCCTGCATGCCAATGACAATTGTATCCACAATAAAAACAACACTCTCACCAATTCTTCTTTGTATAATAAAGAATAAAATAAACATTACAGATAAATTTGTTAATCATCAAATCTAAACCAATACCTTTACCTTAAAAAACTCAAACCGTACTGCAGTCTCTTCAATTAACAGATGCGAAAAAGAAAAAGAAATTAAAACAGAGATGGAATAGAATAAAACCTATTTGCCTTTCTGGGGGGTGCTCAACAATTTCCTTATGGGCAACTGGGGGCTTGTGCATATCAGCCAATGCATCCCAAACATCTTTAGCAGAATCCTTCTCCTTTATTTTATTGAAGATTTCTTCTCCACATGAAATCATAATGGCATGAAGAGCTAATGCATTTTTTTTCATCCACTCGCTACTCATATTTCCTCCAGCAGGCAACTGGCTTGACTGAACAACATCCCAAAGATCTTGACCCAATAAATAGTATCGCATTAAAATGCTCCACCTTTTGTAGTTACCTCCTCTAAGAACTTCAGGGACAATCACATTTGCATGTGTAGCAACTATTTCCATCTTGGCCCCTGGGAAATATTTAATCACATAAAACTATTTCTGTTAGTGTCAGCATATAAAAATGAGATAGATGAACCAAATGAGTGTGCTTCCCCAAGCGGCAGGCGCGCGAGTCCCAATGAAACCTGATAGCACACCGATTGTTTAATTTTCAAAACTCAAATGACAGTGATGTGATCATACCAGTGTTGCTATATATATATATATATATAGTCGTTTTCGAATGATCTGATATAATTATTGTAAGAATCAAGATC